GGATTTTGTTTCTTAATCCATTCACTTAGCCTCTGTCTTTTGACTAGGGATATTTAAGGTCATTATTGAAAGACATGTATTGGTTGCCATCATTTTAATTGCTGTTTGTGTTCTCTGTCTAATTTTGTGTTTCCTCGATTATACCTTTATTTATTTTCTTTTGTTGCCCCTAGGGTATAGTTGTTTCTCTCTCCACTCTCTGTATTGCTTCAAGTATTCTTTGAAGGGCTGTGGACATGTATTCTTTCAGGCTATTCATGTCATGAAAGATTTTTCTTCCCCCTCATCTATAATAGACATTTTTCCTGGGTAAAGTATTCTGGGCTGGCATTTATTGTCATGTAGAACTGGAAATACCTTGGTCCAGGCTCTTTTGGCTTTCATAGTTTGCACTAAGTCAGCTGTGATTCTGATGGGCTTTCCTTTGTATGTGACTTGTTTTTCTTTTGCTGCTTTCAGTATTCTCTCTTTGTTCTGTACATTTAGTGTTTTTTTTCTATGTGCTTCCTGTATTTGAATGGAGATGTCTTTCCTTAATTTCGGGGAATTCTCTTCTACAATCCTGTTTAAGATCTGGTCAATATCATTAACCTGAAATTCTTCTCCTTCCTATTTCCTTATGATCCTTAGATTTGGTCTTTTCAAGGTGTCCCAGATCTCTTGCATATTCCATTCCTGTATTTTTTTTTTAACTTTCCATAATCTTTGCTTCAGTGGTCTAATTCTTCAAATTTATCCTCCAGTGTTGACATTCTGGTTTCCATTTCATTCATTCTGGTGGCGAGGCTTTCCCCTGTGTTTCAAGTTGGCTTATTGAGTTTTGCACTTCCTTCTTCATTTCTGAGTTTTCTTCAATGTTTCTATCTCTTTTGTGAATTCATTCAGAAGTTTATCCCCATCTTCTTTTAGCTCTTTGTTTGTTCATGTGTTCTTTAAATTCGTTGCGTTCCTTGGTCATGTTTATGACTGTTCTTTTAAATTCATTGTCCTGGGTTATTTCTAAGGGGTTCTCCTTGTAGAACTCTTCTACAGGATTGGTGGAGTTTGGTGGAGACAGTGTTTTGGCTTTCCATTGTATTATTCTTTCATTGTGATTTTGGCATATGAATTTCTTTTGTTGTTTATGATTCTGATACGAGAATTAAGTTGAAGTATGCTTCTGTTTGTATTATTTGTGTGCCTAGATCCTTTATTGGTTATGTAAAGCTGGTTGGTACAGGGTTCAGGTTCTCTCAGGTTTAATTTGGAGGGAACTGATGGCTTTAGATCAGTTATTCAGGAGTACCCACAGAAGCCCAATTCAGGCTCAAGTTCGGTACAGTCAGGCTTCCTTCACTACATGGAGGCAGGATCTGGGGGCACTCAGGCAGTCCCCTGGGTTCTCAGTCCCTCTGCCTGAGGGAGGCCAGTACTCCACACTCCTTGATGGCCTGCTGAGCACCATCTCAGGCTGTCTGCTAGGATCTCAGCCTTAGTCTACCAAAGCCAGATCTGCCTTGGGGCCTTGGAAGGGGCCTCACAAAACCCCAGGTAGGGGGATGGGTATGGCACATTTAGGGGAAGGTCAGCCCCACTTGGCAGCAGGATGCAGGTTCTCAGGCCCTAGGCCAGAACTCAGCACTTCTTGGCAGTCTGCTGAGATCAGAGCTACTGGACTGATGGAGGTTGGAACCCACCCTCTCAGGCTGTCTGCTAGGATCTCAGCCTTAGTCTACCAAAGCCAGATCTGCCCTGGGGCTTTGGAAGGCACAATTAGGGAAAGGTCATCCCCACATGGAGGCAGGATCCTGGGGCTCTCAGGCAGCCCCCTGCATTCCCAGGCCCTCTGCTTGAGGGAGGCCAGGACTTGGCATTTTCTGGCAGTCTGCTGAGATCCTTTATTATTTTTATTTTATGTGTATGGGATGTATTGCCTGCATGTAGGTAAGTGCACCCGTATCGTGCAATGCCCACGGAGGACAGAAGAGGCTGTTGGATCCCCTGGAACTGGAGTTACCAGCAGTTGTTAGCTGCCAGGTGGGTGCTGGGATTCGAACCCATGTCTTCTGCGAGAACAACCAGTGTTCTTAACCACTAAGCCATTTCTCCAGCCCCAAGATCTTTTTCTAAGGAAACAAATCTAAATATAAGTGTAACCCATTGACACATCCGCTGTTATTCAATTTATTAACTGAAGCATGAAATAGGCCCCATTTTGGATTCCCCAAATTTGCTTTGAAAGGAGTAGTTCAAAAAATGATATGAATAGCTGTCTACAAGAATACATGGATCCCTAAACTGACACAAACTGAGTTATTTTTTGACATGCTATATGTGCTTGATATCTGTCACTTTTCAGGATGAATGCCCCCCCCCCCAATCTGGTGAAAATCCTTAGGTGTAATGACAAGACTACTACTGCTACTGCTACTACGACTACTTTCAGTTTTCAAGGCTCATTTCTTTGTTCTAAAAATGTGACCATGCAAGGCTTAGAGACAGCAAGATCCAGGGAGATTCCAACATCACTTCTCTATATAAATTTTACTGAGCAAGGTCCAAGGTTTCCAACCCTCTGGATAGAAAGCGATGCCTACATCCTTGAGTGACAATAGTTCCTTGATGGTGATGCTCTAGGGCAGGATGCCTGGCTTTCCTTTTCTAAGGAAAGGAGAGATAGTCAAAAAGGGCCTGGACACTACACAGACTCTCCTTGTCAAGGGACAGCCCTGGTAGCTATTGTCCTATAATATGCTGAGGCTTTTTATTAAATTAAATTAATTAGGGGTGTGTGTGCACGTGTGTGTGTGTGATGTACACATGAATGTAGGCATCAGTGATCAGTGGAGGCCAGAAGAGAGCACTGGATCCCCTGGAGCTGGAGTTACAGGTGGTTGTGAGCTGCCTGGTATGAGTGCTGGAAAATGAACTCAGTTCCTCCATAAAAGTAGGATGCACTTTCAATGGCTGAGCCATCTCTCCAGTCCCTTATCACAATTTCTTCATCACAGCAATGTCTTAGTAACATAGCTATTTCTTAACTATGAAAGCCAATAGAAAACCAGTTTTTAGAACTGCCAAGCTCACTTGATTGCAATTTTGTTAACTATGCAGTGTGGGGGTAGGCATTCACCCAAAACCTTTAAAATGTTTAGTTACTGTTATGATTTTATTTTGCTTGTGCACCCTGAAAATGTTTTGAACTCTCATATGACTGAAACATCTCCCCAAATAAGAGAAAGTCACTAGGTATTAAGAATTATGTCCTGTTTCTCTGAGTCAGTCTCAAAACTCAATGAAAGATGGGCTTTCTGTTGGAAGACACAGATCAGGGGAGCAGCTTTGTTTTTGGATGGACAAGAGCTGGGGTGAGACCAGGTCACTTGCTCAGATTATTGTCTCTGCAACAATCTTCCTGTTGCCTGCTGCTTCCAATCTTTCCATTTTCTCTGGACAAGAAAGAACCTTGGCCAGGTTTTACAACAAAAACTTCTGATAAAAGGGCAGTCACAACACCCATATCTATTACTAGCCACAGTCACCACAGCTTAACACCAACTAGTGTAGGAGAACACTGGGGTCCCTTGTTTTTTTGTTCTTTCCCTTCTGTAATTATTGTACTGGCCTTTCCGCCTTGGAAGGGGACAGGGTGCCTGAAGTCACCTGCAGAGGACTAGAGGAACTGCTCTGGATGGTGGATTCTGTAACAGGTTCCTTAGCTCCCCAGAAGGTGGGAGAGGCTTCCCTCAGAGAGGAAAAAGGAATGAGTTTATACTACTGGAAGGGGGAAAAGAGACTGCTCTGTAATGAGAAGAAAAAAAAAGCACGTAAATGGCTCAGAGCTGATAGCATCAAAGCCACGAAAAATAAATATAAATTTCTCTATAGTAAAAGTTGTAAAACATTGCTGAGAGCAATTAAAGGAGACTTAAAAATGTAGTGACGCCTTTGCCTTATATTTATGTTTGTAAGATCTAATATTATTAAGATCTCCAGTTTCTACAAATTGATCTTAAGATACTAGTAGTAAAATTCCCAACAGATTTTTAAAAATAAAATGTAAAACTAAATTGATAAGCTAATTCCAAGTTTTGTAGAAATACAATTGTTCTAAAACAGGCAAAGCAATGCAAAATTAAATTAGAAAAACTGATTTTCAGATTTTTTATAGTGTTGACAATAAGATAAACAAAATAGCCAAACAGAGTAGAAAAATAAAAATTAGACTCATACATACACCCCTTGATTTTCAACCGAGGTGCCAAGTAAATTTAAGGAGGGAAGCTTTTAAAAATGGTGCTGATCCACTTGGCAGCTGGCAGCTGTCTGAGGCTCCAGTTCCAGGGGATCAGATCCCTCTTCTGGCCTCTGTGGGCACTGCATGACATAGGTGCATTTACATGCATGCAGGCAAAACTCATACACATTAACATAAAAATAAATTAAAAAAATAATGCTGAGGGGAGGGATGTGGCTCAGAGGATGGGAAGGGGGTGCTGTGAAACTGTCATCTGGACTTGACATTGCCACCTCCCCTATGAATTCACAGCAGCACTGGCTGCCAGCATAAAACCTGCATAAGAATGGGCACATCAACATTCCACCATGGCTGGGGAAGGACTCATAAGGACTCATAGCTGCTATGGGGAGCTAATGACTGCAGGAAGAGGGGAATCATATTCCTTAGTGGTGTAGCCACTGGTAAGCTGACCCTGCTTAAGTAACTTCCCAACCACACTCACACAGGCAACTCTAATGCAGTGAGCCACACACATATGCAAAATAGGACAGCAAATAGAAGGGGGACTTGTTCGGAGGAAGGGTTTTAGTGGGAGGGAAACGGGAATGAAAGGGGACAATGAGGGAAATACAATCAAAGCACATCACATGTAAGAAATTGTGAAAGAGCAAATAAATTAATAAAAGAAGACAACTGAATTAATAAATTAATTGAAGACAATAAAAGTTAAAATCTCCATCATGAATATTTCTGTTATAGACTGGGAAAAATACTAGCAATAATATATCTAACAATATCTCATGAAAATATTAGCTTTTATTTTAGAGGTGATTGTATGGGAATACACAGCTGTGGAAACTTTTCAAATGAAACACTTTAAAATCTGCAGTTAAGGGCTGGAGAGACGGCTCAGCAGTTAAGAGTGCAAAACTACTCTTGCAGAAGGCCCAAGTTTGGTTCCCAGCACCCACATCAGGCAGCTCAAAACTGCCTGTAACTCTAGCTTCAAGGGGATCCAATGCCTCTGGCCTCCTGGGGCACTGGCACTTCCACATGTGCATACCTATTCACATACACATAATTTAAAAAAAAAAAATTAAAAATCTGCAGTTACATTGTATGCAAATTATATCTCAATTTTAAGAAGAAAGTTCAGGATAAAAGAGCACATTGTAGTTATGGGTACCAATGAATACAATACTTAAGGCTGATGGTTAATTCTCATCTTAAATTTTATCCATAAAACTGCAAAACTCCGCTTTTCCCATCCATATTACTCTGTAAATTATTCCTGTATTCAAAAGTACAATGACAACCAAATGAAGTCTTTGAGTCCTTTTTCTTTATGGATATGGAAACATCAAGATCAAATAATTAAATCTTAACTGTAATAATCTAGGACATATAAGTTGCAGCACACATGAAGAGATGTGCTGTCTAGTTAAAAATGTTAGCTGGTGGAAAATGAGAATTTAGGCAGAGAGGACTATTCAAAAAACCTTCCACATTCCATATACCTCACACTCAAATTTATGTTCAATTAACTTTGCAAAACTCCTCCAAATATACTACTATACGTTATGGTATGACACAAAGAACTTAACTAACTATACAGTTTTTCTCTTCTACACTATGTCCTTTGTTAGGCAAACACTGTGTCTGGGTAATTCATTCCTGTATTTTCTGAAAAAACTAGGCCAGGCTCTTGAAAAGAAGAGATTCCAGTGTATCTTGTTATTTATACACTTAATCAAGTATATAAATAACAAAATATGCATTCTGAAAATATGGAATTCTAATTCTGTATTTTCAGAATGCATATTTTAGTGCAACTCAATTATATTTTCTCACATGGAATGTCTGAACAGCAACAATTTCATTTGATAATTTATTGGACATACATTTAAAAGGAGGATACTACATGATATACAAATTCAAGTAACCCAGGATTTAAAAAAATCATACTATGCTTACTTTTCTAGATTAAAAATTATAGAAAAAGTACATTGTTAAAACTATAAAAACCATAGCCCCTGCTGGTTTTGATGGCCATGTGTGGACAACGATAGGACTATAAAATGAAGGTTATAGGGCACTTTGAATTGAACATCACACTGACATGACCAGAAAAGCTGGTGAGCTGAGAGGAAATGCCATTCTGCAGCTAGGACCTTGCCTAGTGAGAACTATTCCTTTGGCAGTGGAGACCTGAGCGATTCCCACTAGGAATCCAGTAGTCTTTAGCCTCATGATGTAAGAACATTTGTGATCCTTTGCAGGCAGCTTTTCTTTAAGATTTTACTGTAGCTTTCCTTCCTTCGCACTCAGGCTCAGGTAAATGCTGTTTTCCAGCCATATGCCACTGGGCTTTCATCTTGAAGCCCACCGCAAGACCTCAAATGGGACAATCCTACTCTACGTGGGGACTCCCACGATCATGTTATTTTTGGGAGAGCAGCTCTCCGGCTCCATAGATATCACTTGGACAGAGTAGCCACGTTCTTCTGCAGCTCTTGCACGGTCCAGATCCACCAGGCACATGCACTGCTTCCCTGAAATAAAGTCAAATGGTATCTTGAGAAACCTTTCACTAGCAATATAAGTTCAGTTCATGTAGAGAAATCTTTTTGGTGACAAAAGTTTGACAGTCATATGGAAAATGCTGCTGACCCCTAAATCTTCTTTTTAATTAACTCTTCTTTTTTTTTATTATTTTGAGACAAGGTCTCACACTGTAGCTCTGGCTGGCCTGGAACTCTCTCTGGCCTCAAACTCAAGAGATCCACCTGCATCTTCCTCTCAAGTACTAGGATTAAAGGCCTTCACTTCCACACCCAGCTAATTTTTCTGTTTTTCAAAAAGTCTTTAAAAAAAAATGTGCTGGAACTCTCTCTGGCCTCAAACTCAAAGAGATCCACCTGCCTCTGCTGGGATTAAAGGCATGTGCCACCATGCCCAGGTTTCAGATTAATTCTTGATTTCTTCACAGATTTATCTCTGTTAAAAGGGTAAAGAAGGCTGAATTCTTCAAATGTATTTATAAATATTCTCTAATTGCAGTTATACTTTCAACTTGTTTTGCATTCCTATAAAATCACATTATCTGCAATAATATTAAAAAAAATCTCAATCTGTGAAATAGAGGCCAACCTGCTCTACATGGTGAATTCCAGGACAGCTGGGGCTACAGGAAGACCCTGTCTCACAAAACACAGCACAACACAACACAGTACAACACAATACAACACAACCTAAATAAACCAAACCAAATCAAATCTGTCTGTGGGAATATCTAAAGTAATACACTAATAAGTGCCATCTGAAAGACATGTTATATTTTCCATCTGGAGTTTTATAGGAGGACTATGAAGAAATAAATGTATCTGAGGAAAAATCTCAACCATGTGCTACAATTTTCACATAGATATGAAATGCTGATTGTAATAATCTTAATTTTTAGAGTTTCCCATCCTTTTAAGATAGTGGTATTTTATTTCCTTTGTAGTCTTTTTAAAAATTATTATTTTTTTTATGTGTGTGTATTGCCTGCATGTAGGTAAGTGCACCTGTGTCATGCGATGCCCATGGAAGACAGAAGAGGCTGTCAGATCCCCTGGAACTGCAGTTACGGACAGTTGTTAGCTGCCATGTGGGTGCTGGGATTCGAACCTGGGTCTTCTGCAAGAACAGTCAGTGTTCTTAACCACTGAGCCATCTCTCCAGCCCCTTCCTTTGTAGTCTTTGAGAAACAAAAGTGGAAACCTGACAGCAAGCAAGAAGCTTACTTGGTTTCTTTAGGCAAATAAAAATTTTAAAAGTAAATTCAGAAAAAATTATTTGAGGTTTGATATATTAGAGCTACTACTTTTATAATTTAAACTGTTCTACATTCAATGTCTAAGCTTTTTCATTCTCCTGACTATGCAGAATCTCATTCCTTCCATTTTCTTTGATAATTATAATTCTTATGCAGCAACTTAGAATCTGCTAAAGTAAAATGACTTCAGAAGGGAAAACATGTAACTGAAATAGAAAACTTCTAAGTGATGGGGCGATATGGGAGGAATTGGAGGAGAGGGAGTGGGTGTGGATGTGATCAAAACACCTTATATGCATGTATGAAATTCTCAATAATTTTTTTTAAGTTAGAAAAAAAGAATCTTCTCAAACAAAAAATAACAATGCTATTAGGTGAAATTACTAGGTAAGAATTGACAAGAGGCTCAGAGTCAAAAGCTTGGTGCTATATACTTCCTTAAAAGGATCCATGCCACGAAGAATGAGCTGTGTTAGAGGCTGTGATACAAAAAGACATATCTAGAATTCCATTTAGGCAAAATCATCTCCCCCTCACCAACAGTTATATATATGGCTGGCATTCTTTCTCCCCTTAAAATACTGTCATTCCTTTAAGACATCTGTAGATGTTCCCCATCTACTTCTTAAAATGAAACACTCCCTGTCAGAGGGATGATCTGCATTCCTTCAGTACCCACCCCGGTTTACACAGCAGCTCATTTACCCTTGGCTTCCATCCCAGTGCAGTTAATTTTTCCTTTTTCATCATGTAGAAGAATCTCTATTTTCACATGTTGTGTCATTACAACTGAAATTCAGTTGTTGGCAGTCTACCTTTTGGGGCTTGGTAAATGTTGTAAAAATGTTCACAGATAATGGAAATGACCTGTGCAAAGCAGATATGCAGCCCTGTGACAGAATCTATGGACACTCCCCCAACCCCCGACTCCAGCAATCTGCCTAAATGCTCTTCCTCTCCAACTCTAGCAACTTCCCTTCCAGTCACTGCTCTCTCACTTGATACTCAAGTACTAAAAACTCACATCCACCATGAACACATCTATCCACCATACCATTCATGACTGCATCGTCACTATGGCGTCAATGTGCTCCCCTCCAAAAGCACATGTTAGAAACTTAATCTCCAAGGCAACTGTGCTAGGATGTGAGCCCAGTGAGAGGTGGTTATGCCATGAGCACAAAGTGGATCTATGTTGTTACTGTAGGAGTGAGTGTAGGTTTCTTATAAAAGGTGTTTGGTCCCAGCTCATTAAGCATTTCCTCCCATTGCTGTCTCTTTCTCTCTCTCTTTTGACATGTGATACCTTTGACAATGTTATGACTCAGCAAGAAGACTCTCACCAGATGTAACCACATGGACTCCATAACTGTGGGCCAAATAAAATATTGTCCCATTATAAACAACCAACCTATGCAAACTAAGATGTGGGTCTACTGGAATGACATCAAATATACATTACACTGACTTAAAGTATTAGGGATGGGAAATCAGGAGGAACAGAAGCAGAAGAAAGACTATGAGAGGCTCCAGGCAAGAGATGCAAGTTCCTGATATGTTCGTGCCTCCGGATGAGAAAAGAAAAAAGGTCTTGGTGCCTCCACAGGTGTGACTTTAGAACTTAGAAGTAATTATCATATAACACAGTTTCTGAGTGCAAGCTAACTATTTCAGCTGGTGCTCAAAGAAGTAATATTCTACTCTGGTGCACATGAAAAAAAATGCACTATGTTGGAATTTTGGTGAGAGTATGATAGTATCTAAGGAGTTTCACAGAAAAAAAAAATTAAGATAATCCCACTCATCTGTCTGAATCCCTGATTTTTAGACCTTAAACTTCTAGTGATATGAAGGGAGCTGAAGTAGCACTGCCGAAGTGAACAAGAGCTTGTGTCTGGAATAAAGTAATTTGGGTTCACAGTGTGGCTCCATCTGAGGGACTCAGGTAGACTTTTGTCTTAGGCCTCTCAGCAAGATTAAATAATTGGGGGCTGGAGCGATGGCTCAGTCGTTAAGAGCACTGGCTGCCTTTGCAGAGGACCTGAGTTTGATTCCCAGCACACACATGGTAACTAACAACTGTCCTAACTCCAGTTCCATGGTTCTGATGCCTTCTTCTGGCATCTGTGGGCATTGCACACACTTGGTGCACTTATGTACACGCAGGCAAAACATTCACACACATAAAATAAAAACAAATAAATGAAAATTAAAAAAATTAAATAATTCTATCTACTGTTTTCATGGGACCTTCCTGACATAATACATGAGAGTATCTGACTCTTTAAATGTGCACAGTGGTTGCTATTGTTCTTCTAAATATGATCTTTTTTCTAAAATGAAGTATTTGATAAATCAATAACTTAATAAACTTGAAACAATTCTGTGTTCTAGCCTGAGTAATGTTTAATAGTGCAAATGCTGAGTGAATAGGTCTATGAATAATATGCAATCATACTTTCATCTAAGAAAGAACACATCATTTTCCTATATTTTGATGCATAAAATTTTGGCATACAGAGTAGACTTTTCCATTTTTATTGTTTTCTTTTGTGACTTGGGTAGATCCTGTAGTTTGTTCATAATAGTAAAGAGGATTTAACATGAAATGCTGTCAGTGTACAACACTGAAAATATCTTTTAAAAAAATATTTTCTTTATTATTTTTATTTTATGTGTATGAGTGTATTGCCTATATGTATGTGAGTGCACCTGTGTCATGCAAAGCAGTGGAGGTCCCAAGAGGGCTTTGGATTCCCCTGGAACTGGAGTTAAGGACAGTTTGTAGCCACCATGTGGGTGCTGGGAATTGAACCTGAGTTCCCTGCAAGAGCAGTCAGTGCTCTTAACCACTGAGCCATCTCTCCAGTCCCCAACACTGAAAATATCTTTAAATATGTGAGTGTTAACCAAAATGTGAGAAAGTATTATAGTCATAAAAGCCCCTTCCAATCTGGATTGAATCTCCTGAGAAAAACGAATTTTCATTTCTTATTCATAAAAGGACATATTTTCCCCCAAGCAGACTCTCTATTTTCATTCCCAGGCATACTGTATGTGCTCTACTCAACGGCTGCTCTGTGAAAACACATACCTATGAGTCTTCGCTGGGGTGGAAGCTGGACAGCTGTCTGATCTGCAAATCTGCACAGAATCATGTGTTCCTAAAAAGACATCAATAGAATGTGGATTTATTTTAATATTCCACTTTAGAGTTGTAAAAATAAAGAAAAAAAAAACACTATGTCACTTCTTCTGGAGTTCAACAGTGCTCAATTTAATAAAAATTATGGTACAAAATAGTAATTTGAAAAAAAGGAAATTTTAAGAAAAAGGTACTTAATAACATCTTCAAAGTTGTCTGGTCTTCAGATAGAGTTGTTAAGAGTAGATAGAGAGAAAATCTCAAGGCCATTCTACCTAGTTGCTCTTAGCCAAAATAGAACATGGTTACATGTTTCGATCATAATGTTTTAAAGGTAAAGACCTATAATTACTTCTGGTTTTCCTTTGGAAAGTTTATCCAAATCTCTTGTGAGACTCTCAGCAGACATGTGAGGAGGCTTCTCATACTACCGGAGGAGGGGGAAGTCATGCACACTGTGACTTCTGTTCTTGGGGACTCCTAGCAGGGGGCTGGCTACTCCTCAGCCTTTTCAGATTCTTCCCTTCACCCAGTCACTTTACAGGGGAGCAGCCTGGCTTCTCTCCTTTCCAAAAGGGTACAGAAGATATTTCCCTTTCTACTTTAAGACAATCAGTAAAGAAAACCTGAGGGAATGGGAGGAGGCCTGATACTGTTGTCTTACAATTTTGGGAAAGACTGCAATAATGAAGAAGAAAAAGAAGGCTTTAAATGGGAAGAGTTGGTAAGTCTGCTCAGTACTCTTCAACCTGCAGGTAGCCAGAGGTGAGTGATTAGGCAAAGTGGAAATGAATGTGGTGCTATGACAACTGACCCCATCTGTTGGTACAGTAAGCCGAGTGAGTTCAGATCCCCCATCTGCCATTTGAGGGCTTTGTACGTTAAGTTTGAAAAGTTTTTTTTTTTCTTTTTCTAAAATATTACTTTTATTTTTTTGTGTATGAGTGTATTGCCTGCATGCATGTGAGTGCACCTGTGTTGCACAATGTTGCTGAGGTCAGAAGAGGGTGTCAGATTCCCCTGGAACTGGAGTTAAGGATGGTTCATAGCTGCCATATGGGTGCTGGGAATCGAACCCGGGTCCTCTGCAAGAGCAGTCAGTGCTCTTAACCACTGAGCCATCTCTCCAGTCCCCTGGGTTTTTTTTGTTTGTTTTTAAGAATTTTCTTATGTAGCCAGGCTGGCCCTGAACTTATGATCTTCTTGTTTGATCTTCTTCTGAGTTTGAAGCCTCTATTTTTCAATCAGGGAAGTGAAATGTTTGTGGCATTAAAAATAAAACAGGGGTCTCTTTGTCTCATCCTTTGTGCACTAAAAACATTTTAATCGTCACTATAAAATTTAAAGGGTAGGAAATACAATGGTTTGAGTTAATAACATTTTCTTTTGCTTTATTTATTTTTATTTCATGTGTATTGAGTGTATTGCCTGCATGTAAGTGCACCCATGTCATGCAAAGCCTGCGGAGACCAGAAGAGGGCATCAGATCCCCTGGAAATGGAGTTATGAACAGTTGTTAGACACTATGTGGGTGCTGGAATTTGAACCTGGGTCCTCTGCAAGAGCAGCTAGTGCTTTTACTGCTGGGCCATCTCCAGCCACAGTGTTAATAACTTCTATTAAGCCTCCACAACATCAGCAAAGGGACAGAAGAATAATTTAGAATCATATGATTGGAAGACACAAGAAAAAGCATACCCTTGGCCCTCATGGTGCTTCTAAACTATTTCATAGTATATATGTAAAGGTAATGTTGAGGCCATCACCACTTAAGATGGAGTACAATGCTCCTGTGCTCATTGGTATCACCATATTTTTCAGAATTATTTATGTGCTTGTTCTCTTTATTTTTTTTTTTTAATTTTATGTGTATGAGTATATTGCCTGCATGTATGTAAGTGCACCTATGTTGTACAATGCCTGCAGAGGTCAGAAGAGGGCGTTGGATTCCCCTGGCATTGGAATTATAGACATTTGTTAGCCGCCATGAGGGTGCTGGGAACTGAACCTGGGTCCTATGCAAGAGCATCTAGTGTCTTGACCATCTCTCCAGCCCCCATGTTTGTTCTCTTTAGTAAAAAGTTCTGAAAGTGCAGGGCACATGTATATAAACTTAGCACGTGCTAGTTAATTTAACTGCTGAGAAAAACACTTTCTAAGTAGTTCTCATCTGAGTACTAAGTAATGGAGCTCTAAGAAGTACTGAGGTAATGATTTTGCCACAGTATCTAAGAGGGGAAGACTTCTAAAACATTTATATCTGAGACCTTCAGAGGGCTGGTGGCCTAACAGCTCTGGGGAGTGCTGGAATAGAAGGAGATAAAGATTGTTAACTGAGGTAATGGGGAGCTGCTCTCTGGAAGTCTGGGTACACCATCTCTGCTTCACAACTTTTACATTCTTTTCCATCCAGTGAATTGTGAGTGCCCTGTCCCTCACTACCTCAGTTTCCCCTCTACATACTCTCATTGCTTGCTTTACCTATGTCATTCAAACAACAGGGACCTCATCTTAATTTTTCCTAATTCATTTCTACTTTATTGGTAGAACTCTGTGAGAGAACGGTGCAGTGAAAATAAAGTTTCTGGGGTCCTAATGTTTACTCCAACTCTGACAGTTCCCTAGGATACCAACTCTTCTATCTGCTTAGCAAAGGGCAGCAATGTTTTGAGTCTGGATGAAAGCGCAATCCCTGTAAACCCTTCTGTCAGCATAATTATCGGTGCATGTTTGTGTGGGCTAGTGGGGAGGGGAAGAAGGAAAGAGGTGGGAGAGGAGCTGGAGGTGGGCATTTAAGAGGCATAAAGAAGTGCTCAAAGAGACAAAGCTGTCAGTAGAACTGAATTTGTAAAGAGACTGGGCTTCACTGTTTAGTCCATAAAATCAAACTACCTTTGAGTGGGTCTATGTAGAAAGTGGAATTGACTGAATTAAAACTCTAATTATTATTTAACACATTAAAGGATTATTTTTGCATTTGTCTCAAATATTACTTAGATTTTATGTCATGCTATTGAACAATTGTTAATGATGATGTTCAGAAAGGCAGAAACCATTTTGCTTAGAGTGGTGACTTAAATGTTCTTATTACTTTTGGAGAAAAGTCCCCAAATGTTTCTTGAGTTTCTATAAGGAAGCACTGCCTTTGTTCCAGACCAGGGACTGACAAAAAATTTGGGCAGGAAGCCTGTGAACTGCTTCTGGGTAACTCACTATCAACATTTTTATACTCTCAGATGTTTGTGAACTAATAACAAAAATAACATCAACGACAAGGACAATGGAGAGTATGTGGGAGATCTGCATGTGGCCAGCAGAGAAAAGAGACTATTGACCTTTTATAGGAAACCTCCCTCTATCCCAGATGAGCTTTTCAAGCACGTCTTTAGAGTGAACAGCCTTGAGAACAGTCTCCTTGGAGAACAAAGGGCAGACATCTTCTTGCCTGTCTCTTGAGTGGGGCTCAGGGACTACATGTGAAGATGAGGGGCTCTAGCTACAGCTACTGCCGTGAGCAACAGCTGTCTTTTGTCCCTGACAGGATTCTCATTCTGTCGGCGTCTACCATGCTGGCTAACATGTTAGCTTCGAAGCAGTGTGAAAATCCCAGAACCTCACCAAGTCTCAACTACTGGAAGAATTCACCTGGATCTGAAAAATTTTCAAAGGCCATAAATGTTTGAGTAATTTCATATAGCTGAAGATTATATAAGCCATTAGAAGTTTGGGATGGAAAAACATGAAGGATAAAAAATTCTCTTAAGGAGGCCAGGAGTAGTGGCTCATGCCTATAATCCCAGCACTTAGGACACCATGAATGCCAGGCAACTAACAAGTTTAGGTGTCAGCACTCTTGAAAAACAAAGCCAAACACAATGCAATAACAAACTCCAAAGCCAGAACAAACACACAGAATAGTGGGAAGACATTTAGGTCTTTTTAAAGTTACCTTATATGATAAAGTTTTCTTGAACTGTTCACTGGAATAGAAAAGTATGAGTAATTAGTCTCCTTTTAAATCTAAAGAAGGTCAGACAACCTATAGAAATAAAACAGATGTGTGATAACCAAAGAGTATAAAATGCTCTCCTGAAGGAAAAATGATGCCAGCTTGAAATGGGCTCATGAAAAGATAAAAGCAGAACATTAGTATGCTATTGATTTAAAATGATTTCTTTCACAGAGTCCTCATACTGTTAGAGAAGCACAAACATCTTTTGGTCTCCTTTCATCATAGACCTGCATGGATTCTGGTTTTGCACCGTGTTTTATTATGATTCAGTTGTGGCCAGGCCAATGGATCAGGAGGCAGCGACCACTGAGAAGATACTTTGCTCTTCACAGTTCCTCAGGAAGGCCATACCAGGCCATACAGGATGATGAGGAGAGGTGCCATGTCAGTCAGTCATGTCACTTTTGTCTCAGTTTGTGAATTGTGTCAAGAGTCAAAATTGTGAAAGAAAAAGATGGATCTTTCATAGAAATATGGGCAAGAGCCCTTAATATGTGTTCTGTATAAAGGGACAGGGAAAGAGGGTCAACAGGCATAGGACTGACTAGCTTGAATAATTTCAGTGACTCTGGGATGGAGAGCTACCCCTTGTTGTCTGGTATGGAGTTCTATGGTATTAGGATGGAAAGTTTCCTGGAAGTGTAAGAGCTTCCAGTTAGGGTTCTTATTGGTTTGTATATGAAAGTCATTAAGCACGTTATTTATTTAGATGTCAAAACATCAGAAGATAAAAAGGCACGATAAGTTGTTGGGGGGACCCTGCCATTTAAGGTCACAGTCCACCATGTTTGGATAGCTCCCCGAGCTCAGCACGAAATGGAGGACTCCCTTTCTCAGCAGGGGCCTTCTACTCTCTGCCTGACTTACCTGGAAAGTGCCACCAAGCACAGATGCCTGACCTTATTTGGAACATGACCTTTGGCATAGATACCTGCAAGAACTGCCCCTAGGTTTTTTCCTGTATGATAATTAGGCATTGCACTACAGCCACTCCATCCCACCTTCCCTTTCTACATGATAGGGTCCCCCTACCACATGCAAATAAAGCATACTATAAACACCTATTAGGTGAAGCTTTGGCCACTGTTTTTACCCTATGTTTTCCCCCGACCCCCTGAATAAACGAGCTGTCTCACTGAAGCTGACTCCCAGAAGGTTTTTTCCGTCGAACTCACAGCCGTCCTGACCCTGCTCGCTGCCTCTGCTCTCTTTGTCCTTGCAGATCAGTGGCCAACGACCCACAAGGGAAGAGAGACCCACAGCTGGCGCCCAACGTGGGGCTCCTGGAATGTGTGGAGTTTGTGAATACCCCTTCTATGAGGGTAGCGGCATTTTTGCCTTGGTCATCCCACCCTGAGGATTGGCAGCCCCTCCTTTCCCCCTTTTACTTTTGGTCTGAGTCTTCACATGGGACCATCATAGCTGCCATCTGACAATGCTTAGGAAACCTACCCAAGAGACAAAAACTACCCATTGACAAAAAGAACCCTTCCCCCCTTTACCCTCCTCTTCTGCCCTAAAAATCCTCATGGACTGAGTAAGACAAAGGCCTGGATGTTAAAACCCAGGTTTAGAAAAATTCCAAAGATAAATCCTCCTCCGCCCTCCCCCTCAGTGCCACCATCTATGGCACCCCACCCCCAGCCACTGA